AATAGTTTTTTGAACAATATAAATAGTATTGAGCAGCTAGATATTTCACTTCCGTTGTACCACTCCATTAGGTTTCGGTTTAATGGTCTGTTTTTTTTTAATAAAATTCGTATCAATACATATGGAACCGTGTATTATAATATTTCATCCTTAAAGTACGTGAAATTTTCAGAACTTTGGGAAAAATTCATAAACGAAAGTATTATACGTGAATTATACGTTTGAATGTATTATAAGTGAATTATACGTGAATAAATTAACAAAGCCCCTAAAAGATATTAGTATATATTTGTTGATATTAGCTTTCATATTATATCTGATGCAAGTGGTACGTCAACACTAAAAACAGTCTCAATTTAAATAATTATTATATGTTGGCGCTATATAATATAGGCCTGCATGAGCATGCCATTATTTTATAAATAGTTGTTTTTATAAGTATACCTATCTTATTACGAAGTATACAAATATTCCTTATTTTTTGAAATGGTAATTTGCAAAATAGTATATCAAAATGTCCCGTGCAACGCACGGGTTATATACTAGTTAGTACTAATTTAGTAGCCTCTTTTTTGGAAGTAATTACAAAATTAATGGCTGTACCAACTCTACTCACACGATAGAGTCGGGTGTACCTTATATTTTGTCATCAATGATCGTTTCCTGATTTTGCTCCTACATGACATGGCAGATGAAGTGCTTCATGGAGCAATCTGTTTCTTTAAATTAAATTTGTGGGTGGGTTGCAACTCGTCATCCACGTTCCAAGAGCGATGAATGACATATTATGTTCATATTCGATCTTTTCTACCAATTTTAATACACTGATTAAGGTGTTGTTTGATGGAGATGTTGTGGATTCAATTCTCTATTCTCTTTTTTTACAAAATCCGAAGGATTTTCTAAATTGGCCTCCAATCTCCTAAATTCAAAGGATTTTCTTTTTTCGGGATGAGCACAATGTTGGTGTCAACCTAGGATGTTTTTACTTGGACTGTAATTTGCTGGTCTGGTCTGGTCTGATCTAATCTGGTTTGGTCTGAACTGGTCTGGTAAGGTCTGGTTTCTTTGTATTTTTATAACTATTCAAGTCTGGTCTGGTCTGAACTGGTCTAGTCTGGTTTGGTCTGAACTGGTCTCGTAAGGTCTGATTTCTTTATATTTTTATAACTATCCAAGTCTGGTCTGGTCTGAACTGGTCTGGTCTGAAACAAATTACAGTTCAAGTAAGAACATCCCTACTAATGAAGGAGCTAAAGTAATGCATGGAGATAATTAAAGCAGAAATTCGAAGTAAACATCAATTCGAAACACCCAAATCTTTAGGAATTAAAACTTAAAAGAAAAACATTTAAAAATCGTAAAAAATACATTGCCGCCTCGATTTGTCACCCCAACACCATTATCCTCGATCATCGGGAAACAAATGCCAACATGCATTAATAATGCCATATTGTCGGCAGTTTCAATGAAAATTTTGGCATTATCAAAGAGTAAAATATCAATTTCTTGGCATTTTCTGAAAACTTTGCATTTTTTTTTTTACAAAAAAAGCATCTTTCACCAATCAGAGACGGTGGTGTTGGGAGGTGGTAGAGGCGGGGGGAGACATTCATATTTTTTAATATTTTTATCGAGTTTTACTTTTTTTATTCATTTTTACATCTTCTTAAAATTGTAGTTCTATAAATTTTTTATTAATTTTTTACGATTTTATTATGAATTAAAACATTTTATTATGAATTAGTACTCTCGGAGCTATTTAGGGTAGAAAATTAATATTTAGTTCTATTTTTGAATAATTTAGCCTTTAACCGTATTTGTGAAATTAAGTTTTTATTTAGACCTATTTAGGCCAATTACTATAGGCTAAAGGGTCAAATAGGTACATGAACTAACTTAAAGTGTACAATTAGCTCCTTATATAGGAGGTTCTGCCCGGCCGTCGCCAATTGGGGCGGTTCTCGGTGGAATTTTTTGATGAATTTTTTTGAGCACCTTCTTCATTAAGTCTAGTTTACCCATACCAAATTTAAGCTAAAAATTCAACTGGGAAGGCAGTCAAATGATTTTTTGAAAATAACTGCGCAGTTAAACAGCGCAGTACATTTCGGAAAATCATTTGACTGCCTTCCCGATTTAATTTTTAGCTGAAATTTGATATGGGCAAACTAGACTTAATGAAGAAGATGCTCAAAAAATTTCATCAAAAAATTCCACCGAGAACCGCCCCAATTGGCGACGGCCGGGCAGAACCTCCTATATAAGGGGCTAATTGAACACTTTAAGTTAGTTCATGTACCTATTTGACCCTTTAGCCATTACTATAATAACTTCAAAATTTTCGCGTGTTTAGTGATTAATATTGCTCATTTTTAGTGATGTATTATATATCTGATGATCAGGATGTAAAGGGGTCTATTGGCTATATGAAGTTTAGAGGGAAGACTTGATTTACTTCTAATGATGGGACGTTTGTTTCTATGAATTTAATATAAATCTTTTCTTTTCAATTTTTTTAAAATTTAATTAATCATCAATAACAATGATTTAATTTTAATATTGGTTGATTAAAAAAAGAGAAAAGTACCAAATCAGCCCTCAAACAAACACAAATATAGTGCAGATCATCCCCTAAAAAAACCTTCAATCAAATCCTCAAGTCGGCGATAAAGCGCGAATCACCCTTTAATAAAAAAAAACAATCAATTTCTTCAACTCAACAATATAGCGCAAATGATTTTCTAAAGTTATAATTTACCGGTTAAAGCTTATGTATGTCATTTATTAAAAAAAGTTATGTCGCATAAGATTCATTTATCCAACTAATTATATCTCACTTAAACTTTTTATTAACTACTTATGAAACGAGATTGAACACACAATCTCTTGAGACGCTCAAGTATTTCTACGATTGGCTAGGATTCACCGACAAATTCAAGAACTACACATAGCAGCGCACCACCATATCATGGAGGAAATGACTACCAAACAAGGAAGCGGGAGTTTCGAAGACTAAGAGATTTGTGTAATCCTTCTCTATTATTGTTTAAATATTTTTGTAATTGTACAAGTCAATTTAATTTTCAAATAAATTTACATTTTATTTTTAATGTGTATAGTTTGTTAAATGTATTTATATAATTTTTTTAAGTAATTTAAAAATTAAGTAGATAAATGAATCTTGTGTGGCATCAATTTCTTAAAAAAATGGCACACATCACCTATAAGTCTTGAACTGATAAATTACAACTTAGGAAAGTCATTTACGCTATATCGCCGAGTTTGAGAATTTGATTGAATTTTTTTTAATTGAACGGGTGGTTAGTACTTTATCCCCGGAGGGTTAGATTGAAGGTTTTCTTTGTTTAGGGGGTGATTTGCACTATCGGTGTAAATTTCGGGGTTGATTTGTTACTTTTCCTTTTAAACAAATTAGCATTGCAAATCAAATTGGGAGGTAGAGTATTATTTAGGTCATTAATTATTTATTACACAATGAAATAAAAACATTATCTTCTTTTCCAATAATATAATACGGAGTGTAATTCGGTTCCGTAAATCATACCATGAGTTACACAACAAATTAAGTTTCGCCGCCGTCTAGGGTTTTCCTAGGCGGGGTGTCTAGGAGTTTTGCCTAGGGTTTTGTCCAGTGGCGGTTCTCCGACCGCGGCACCAATTTTTGTTTGGATTTTCTGATTTTGGATTCATTTCATGGATTTTTTTAGGGCAGTGGAGCGAATTCCTTGTGAGCCAAATTGGTAATTCGGCTATGGAATGGATTCCGATCGCAAAGAGGGTCTGGTTCGATGGATATGGTGCTGAGACGGGTGGCGGCTGATTCAAGGAGGCTGGATCGGAGGAGCCTCGAGTTGCGGCAAGGGGCTGGCAGAAGGTTCAAACAACAGTTTTGCATGAAAAACTTCGTGGACAAGTACAAGACGATGGTGAATGTGGCAGAGGAAAAAGAACTGGATCTAGATGATGTTGATGTTGAGGTTGTGGGGGATGAATGGCGGGCGTGTCCCCCTCCTGAGCCGCCACCATGGAGTGCGAGCAAATCTAGTGTTTGGAAGAAGATGTGCGAAATCTATTTTTATTTCGTTTTATTCAATTTGTGTTTTTCTATCGAATCACATGTTGTGTTGGGCGTGTTCTTTTTTCCTAGTAGAGATATTCTTGAGTTTAGGTTAGGTGATGAGAAGTCTGGTTTGTCAGTCATTGGCCCAGTTAAGCCTATTACAGGATTAGTGAATGTTATTGCTTCTACTGAGGTGATAGATTCTCAGTCTGGTTCAAGGGCGGACGACAGACATAAGACCTTTTATCGTTTTGTTTACTTCTTTCTCCTTGATTGTATTGTTAGCCATGTGACGAACTTTATTTTGATTTAGAGTTGGTTTGCAACTCCTTTTAAAAAAACACTTCTCAACTTTTAGCTTTAAAAAAGCACTTATTTTCTCAAACACTACAACTTTTATTTTTCTCGGCTTCCGCGTCAAAAGTGCTTTTACTTTTTCTATTACACAAAAAACACTTATTTTACCAAACACTACCCACTTTTACTTTTCAAAATCACTTTTTTCTCAAACACTATCAACTTTTATTTAATCACTTCTCTCCATTTCATTAAAAAGCATTTTTTTAAAAACAGAAACTGATGCAAACAGACCCTTAACATATTAGTTTGAACTATTTCATTAAAAAAATACTCCCTCCGTCCCAGAATTAACTTCGGTTTTGACTGGGCACGGAGATTAAGAAAGTGAGAAATGTGTGGTGGAGAGTTGTGCAGAGGAGAGAGAAATGTGTAAGAATGGTTGTGAACCACAAATCCTTTGCTAAAAAGGGAAAGAGGAGATAAATTTGGGACGGACCAAAAAGGAAAGAATGAAGATAATTATGGGACGGAGGGAGTAATATAATACCGAGTAGCAAGTACTACGAAATTTTTCTAATAATAGCTACTCCGTGTAATTCATGTTGATGAGGAACTTTGTAGAACATTGCAGGAAAAAAGAGCGCGGAAGACTCTAGAACGTGACGGTTCTATGGATGCTACTTGAAAATTCTACCGCAATCCTCTATCTTGTTTATAAATGCCATCCCTGGTCCTCCGTTGATGCATCGGAAAAAATCTACTCGAAGCGTTTATCAATCATCAAAAATCATCAACATTTTTCAAATTCTCTTCAATTGAAAACTAAGAATGTCTCTGATTCCAAGCATCTTCGGACGTCGCCGGAGCAACGTCTTTGACCCCTTCTCCCTGGACATCTGGGATCCATTCGAAGGATTCCCGTTCTCTAACGCCGTCGCAAATGGCGGTGCTTCGGCGAGCGAAACGTCGGCATTCGTGAACGCCCGATTCGATTGGAAGGAGACGCCGGAGGCTCACGTGTTCAAGGCGGATGTGCCGGGGCTGAAAAAGGAGGAGGTGAAGGTGGAGGTGGAGGAAGGGAGGGTGCTGCAGATCAGCGGAGAGAGGACAAGGGAGCAAGAGGAGCAGAAAGGGGACAAGTGGCACCGCGTGGAGCGGAGCAGCGGCAAGTTCTTGCGGCGTTTCCGGCTGCCAGATAACGCGAAGTTGGATCAGGTGAAGGCTGCGATGGAGAACGGCGTGCTGACTGTAACTGTTCCGAAAGAGGAGGAAAAGAAACCTGAGATCAAATCCATTGAGATCTCTGGTTAGGGAATTTCACATCCCCGCGCTATGAATGCCTATGATCAGATCTATATCGTGTTTGTGCTTTTAATTAGAAGAATAAGTAATGGGGTAATGGGTTATCATCAAAGTATGTTGTAAGTTTTTGTAGTTGTTAATGATCAAAGTATGTTAATTCTAAACTTTGTCAATTCTCGTCCCTAAATCATACTCCCTATTTGCTCTATAATTTGCTTTGCTTTGCTTTTTCAGGCTAATACTCTTCAAATTCAGAAACTTGACATCGAATTGCACAACTTATTTCAACTTCAAATGCTGTGTAGTTTCTGTATACTGAAAAAAACACTTTACAAAAAAACACTTCATAGACCTGAGTATGTAAGTGTGTACAAAAAATGTTATAATACAAAAAATGTGTAACAATCGTTTTTTCACGGTGAAACTAGACTAGATTATGTTCAACTTAATTCAATAAAAAATTGAACTTCAATTGGACAGTGTAAGAGATCAAACATGTAGTACGGAATGAGTAGGATCGGTTTGTAAAAACCGAATCACGGCCAAATAAAATTGAAGAAAATTGAAGCACTAAACCATCGAACCAAATGTAAAACTGAAACGAATCAAAGTTGTCTACGAATCAAAATCATACCAAGAATCAAAATCATACCAAAACCAACAAAACAAATCGAACTAATTAAAATATAAAATTGTAATCAGTTGTAATAGAGAAAACTGTCAAATAAGTCCCTAACATTTCAAAAAAATCAATTAAGCCTTTAACCTGAAAGTCAGTTCAGTTAGAGCATCTTCAATGCTAAAACATTAATGGTGCATACGTGACATGAGAAATAACCCATCAAAAAATAACAAATATAATACTTTTCTCCTTATTTGAAGGATCTTGCATCATTTGATAAGTTTTTCTTCACAATGTCAAACACAATGTCTAGATATAGACATTATGGTTGACATTGCAGACAAAAGCTTATCAAAAACACATAAGACTGTAAAAAGTAGTGAGAAATGTCATAAAATCAATAGTTTGCGTCTATATCTCTCATGTCACGTGTATCGTGCACATTGTAACATTAGAGATGCTCTTACTCTCGAATCCATTATAAAATTTCAAAACCTCTTTTTAACCAGTAAGGAATAAGGATGTTTTTACTTGGATTTTAATTTGCCGGTCTGGTCTGGTCTGATCTAATCTGGTCTGGTCTGGCCTAAACTAGTCTGGTCTGGTCTGGTCTTTTTGTATTTTTATAACTATCCAAGTCTGGTCTGGTCTGAATTGGTCTGGTCTGGTTTGGACTGGTCTGATCTGGTCTGATCTGGGACAAATTACAGTCTAAGTAAAAAAATCCTAAGTTACCTGGTTATTATGTACATGTGAATACACGTGGATTTTTTTTCGTTTTTTCCGTTTTTATTTCTTTTTCTCTTTATTTTTCTCTTTTTTTCATTTCCATCCATCTTCTTTCTCCTTCGACAATTCGTTCCAGGCTTCCAGCAAAATTCAGCACCCCTTCCTCCATCTTCTTCTAATCTTGTACCCACCCTTTCTTCTTTCTTCTACCACCAATAGGTTGTTGGCCGGCGTCGCAGAGTCCGAGAGAAACTTAGGTCACCGGAGGTGCTCAAGACTCAAGTACCCATCGCACATATGTCCTGTCATCCCCTTCCCGCGATTCCATGCCTTGGAAGTCGGAAGGGTTCTCCATTGATGCTTCGCTAGGGAATACAAGTTGGAGTCGGCATCGGTGTTATGAGAGACCTCCGGCCAGATTCCAAATCCGTAATCGGCTGTAGAAAAGAGGCGCAAGAAGGGAGGGAGAGGCGAGGTTGTGGGACTGCGAGCAGAGAAGTGGAAATGGAAAGAAAGAATGGAATAAAGAAAGAGGGGAGAAGGTGCAGGTGCTCGCGCATAGAAGAAGGAGAGCATGAAAGAAACGCAAGATGAGGAAAGAAAAAGAAAAGAAAAAAAAAAGGAAAGAAAAAAATGACATGTCACACGCCACACACACAATTTAACCAGGAATTTGAGAGAATACCTGCTAAAAAGAGATTTTGCCATTAATTTTTAATGAGTTTGGGGGTTTAATTCAATAGACTTTTAGTCGGAGGGCTTAATTAATTTTTTTGAAAAGTTGGGGGGCTTGCTTGATAGTTTTCCCTTTTTAATATCATTAATAGTCTTTGATTTTCTTATGCTAGAGAAATAATGTTTGTGTTATGTTTGTTTTAGTTCATATATTCATTTACACATTCATTGTTTGTAATAATGTAACTATGTTGATCTATTGTGTCTATTAGTATGTATGTTGCAATTTGTTGCATGATGATGATCTGTTTTTACTGGTTGTAATTTTTATTTTATTTGTTTCTAGTGTGCTTGCATTCTTTATGTAATATGTTTGATCTATTTAACTATTGTATCAAAACAAACCGAAACAAACCGATCAATCAAACCGTGCTTCCAAATTTTGGAGTGTAAAATCAAACTGAAATCGAGTAATTTTTTCTTTGGTTCTATATTGATTTTAGCACAAAACTGAATTTGTGTTTAATGATTATTAAATATAAAAAATCCTAACACACACCTTAATCCGATAAACCCATTCCTAAAGCCACCTTCATAGTGACCCCATCATATGCCTCCATGACCTATGTAAACAAAAACACAACCGGAAATAATTTTAAACACACTAAAATAATCCAACTTACGCTGCGAAAATAAAACGTACACGTACAATAAACTAAACAAACATTAGTATATAAACCTGGTTCACACACAGTCTATGTAGGCTTGGGAACCACTTTTTCGTGTTCTTTTTACTAACTCAAATAGACCTATCACCGAATATTAATTTAATTTTTGATCCCCTTATAAAAAATTCAAAACAATTAGTTATAATTGAGCCTCCCTCATCATAGTTATAACATCACACACACTAAACATTACACTATATCGGTATCACGGTATAATTTGCGCAAACAGTACATTTAGGCACTGTCACGTTGATATAAAACATCATTGAGATTGCTCATGCTACTAAAAAAGGATAGCCTTTGTTTTGAGTTTATTAGTCAATTTCTTAGTAATTTTTCAAATTATAATGATTTAATTGGCAAAATGAAAAATTCAGTGTTAAACAAAAAAAATGAGTTGTTGCCGTGGTGATAATGAATGAATGTCGAAAAACGTTTAAATTTTGATTTACATATCTTGGAATGAAAGGTGATTTCACTTGTTCCGAATTTACTTTCCTAAAAACATTATTTGTATTCAATTACATAAATGAAATTACTTTCCTAAAACAATTTCATCCACCGCCACATGAAATCTATAAAGAGTCAAGGCACAGCTTCCCCAACTTTCACCCATCTATGCTCTCCGCAACCTACTTTATCTCTGAACAATTAATTCGATCTCGAACTTCTCCGACGTTGTTTTGGGCGGAGGATGAATCGGGTTTTGTGGATTCCGCTGTTGATTTTGGGTTTGATGGCATTATCTCAGTGCCACGCTCAAAACTGTTCGGGTCACGTCTTCTCCAACAACGCCAAATTCGCCGCCTGCATCCGTCTTCCCGTCCTCAACTCCTTCCTCCACTGGACCTACCACCGCAGCAACCACACCGCCGACATCGCCTTCCGCCAGACCAACGTCACGGCCTCCTCCTGGGTGGCGTGGGCACTCAATCTCGCCGGAAAGGGGATGGTCGGCTCGCAGTGCCTGGTGGCCGTTCCTGACGCCCGCGGCGGCGGCTTCCGCGCCTACACTTCCCCTGTCTCCAGCTACGGCACACGGCTTGCGCAGGGCACTCTGAGCTTCCCGGTTCCGAACATCTCAGCGGAGTTCGCCGACCAACAGGTCGTGATATTCGCCACCCTCGTCCTCCCCGCCAACATGACCCGTTTCACCACGGTCTGGCAAAACGGGCCAATGCACGGCGCCACTCCCGGGATGCACCCTACGACCGGACCCAACATGCTATCCATTCAGACAGTCGATTTCGCCACAGGCCAGACCATTACCTCCGGTGATAATGGAAACGTAGTCACGTCTGTTATGCGGAGAAGAAACATTCATGGTGTGTTGAACGCCATCAGCTGGGGCCTGCTGATGCCCTTAGGGGCGGTGATTGCGAGGTACGTGAAGGTAGTCCCATCGGCCGACCCGGCCTGGTTCTATCTACACGGTGGCTGCCAACTCTCCGGGTACGTGATAGGCGTCGCCGGTTGGGGCACGGGGATGAAGCTGGGGTCAGAATCCAAGGGAATCAGCTACAAGACCCACAGATGCATCGGCATCACGCTCTTCTGCCTGGCCACTCTTCAGATAACCGCGTTGTTCATGAGGCCGAATAAGGATCACAAATATCGGCCGCATTGGAAGTGGTTCCACACCATAGTCGGGTACACGACGATTGCGCTGAGCATCACCAACGTGTACAAGGGATTTGATGCATTGGGGAGGGAGGATAACAATTGGAAGAAGGCGTACACTGGGGTTATCATTGCCTTGGGGATTGTGGCTGTCATCTTGGAAGCCATAACATGGCCCGTTGTGATCAAGAGGAAGAAGAGGGAGAACGAGAATAAACCCGAAGACACCGGCTATGAAGGCAACGGACAACATACTAGCACAGTAGTGTAGCTACATTTATAATACTGATCTGACTCAAACGGTTTTGTTTTATTTGTTTAATTATGATGTCAAATTTTAATTATATTCTAATTTCAAGTTTGCAATTTTGAATAGATTTTAATATAGTTTCTGAATATGTAAATTTTAATTATTAAAAATTGAGTTAATTATCGATTGACAGAATTCACTGTTATTATTGATTGACCAAACATATTGACTTCTCAAAACAATTTGGAACGAAAGGAGTATATTGATACTCCCCCGTCCCATTTTAGTTAAACAAACTTGACATTTCAAGTCAATGACGTTTAACTTTAATTGATTATATGTTTATATAGAGAAAATATCGATAATATGAAAATGATATGAAATATTTCCTTATTTATTAAATTTTGCATAAGTATAATGGTTAAAATAATTGGTCAAATTTTGTATCAAGTAAAAAATGGCTAAGTATATTAGGATTGAGGTAGTATATTATAATATTATTACTCTATGTATTACACCCATTGATCTTTGTTATAGGGGCCGCAATAGTTTTACATGTTCGACGTTAGTTGCGCTTTTTGCTTTTTTTTAATTATTATTACACGTCACTTTTACAAATATCACTCTTAGTATAAATAAATAAACTTAAACGTCACATCAATATTCATAACAAAACACCATGGACCTTATTACTTCCTCCGTTCCCTTTTAATTGCAACAGTCAACATTTTACGTTTGTCAACACACAAGTTTGACCATTAATATCTTTGATTTCTTATTAGTAAAAAATTTAAAAAATTCATATTTTGAAAATTTAGAATGAGAAGAATTTAATAATATTTTTTTTTAAAATTAATTTATAATAAATTAATGAATAAAATATAGTCAAAGTAGAATATGTGAATAGTGCAAAAAGTCCAATGTTATGATTAAAAGAGAACAGTATTTAATTTAAATAAAACACCTCTTGTCGGATTTGGGAAATCCAATTAGAACTAAAAAAACAAGAAAAACTGCTTTCAGATTGTCAGACACATGTTTCCCGTAAAATTGGAAACCCTAAAAAAATTCCCCTAAATTCACCTCGCAAACACCAAATTCCCGTAGTTTGAGAAATCACCCCATATTCTTGGGGTTAGCTTCAGTGTGTTACAATCATTTTTTATTTTTTACTTGAGTAGTCTGAAGACTTTGATTTGGATTTACGAGTTAAATCGTAGCACACTGCAGATCCTGTGCAATAATCTTTTGCTTTCCTTGGATAAAAAGTACTCCATCCGTCCCGTAAAGATGTTCCCCGCTTTCCCTTTTTAGCAGTCCCAAAAAGAAGTTCCTCTTTTCCTAAATGGAAAGATATCCTACATCAAAATAGTGTCAAATAGTGCAAAATAGTGTCAAACAGTGTCAAACAGTGTCGAAACAGTGTGAAAACAGTAAAATTTACTGGTAAGTTTGTTTCCTTAACATGTGTGTGTAGGTCAAACCGGGAACATCTTTGGGGAGGGAGTATACAATTACATGTTGGAAACTTGGAATGAGACGTCTTAAATTCAAACATTTTTTATTCTTGACCCACTCCCCGCTCCATTTGACCCACCCAGGACAAAAAAAATAATGAATACTTAAATTTAAATACCTAAATATACCGAGTACTTTTAATTTTTAAAATAAATACGAAGTATAAAATTGAAGCTTTTTAAGGTAGATGGATTAATTGCACACACCTCATATATAATTTTGTTTTGGGTGAACTAGTTTTTCACCGTGCGATTAGACCTGCACGAAATTGGGCCGGCCCGCTCGGTCTGCCCAGCCCACCCACACAAATGGACGAGTTTGGACATACATACATACATATATACATATATATATATATATATATATATATATATATATATATATGCATATTTATGGCTCACATTGAATCACATGGGGGCCGAGGTGATAGAGGTCCAATCATAAGGATCTCCAATTACATCAAAGAGGCACGAGACTTGGGGTGCAAACCGTTCGATGGAACGGGTGACATCTCTATTTCGGCGCAATGGATTAAGAGGCTGAATGAGGCAGCCCTTGACATGCAACTCACCCCCGAGTATAAACTAAGGGTTGCAGTGAGATTACTTGAAGGGATGGCATCTAAGTTGTGGGATGGGACCAAAGGCAAGTTTGGCGAGACCGTCACTTGGGAGAATTTCCAACATGAATTCTTTGCTCAATACTTCTCTGATTTTGAAGTGAACGCAAAGGTGAGGGATTATACCCTTCTGACCCAAGGTGGTAACATGACAGTGAGGCAGCTTGAACACAAATTCAGGGACCTTGCTGATTACATACCGGAGTATGTTTGTGACGAGAACCGAATGGTGAACCACTTCTGGGATGCCCTAGACTTGGAAATACGGGATAGGGCTACCCAGTTACCTAACATGACTTACAGTCAGGTGGTTGACCAAGGGTTGAAGGGCGAGAAACAGTGGGAGGAGAGGAAGAAGAGGGACGCCGAGGAGGCGAAGAAGAAAAAGTGGGAGAGTCATGGCCCTCAAGGCTCCATTAAGAAAGGGAATCACGGAGGAGGGGGATCTTTCCGAACACCACCGCCACCACCTAGGGGGAACCAAGGCCCGAACGGACAAGGATCACGGACCTTGGGAGTTGCTCGGTGCAATCATTGCAAAAGGAGCCACTTGGGTAAATGTCGTGACCCTCCTAGATGCTTCCAATGCGGGGATGCCGGGCACTTGAAGATGCATTGCCCACAGTTAGGCAGGGCAAGAACCTCGGGACCAAGTAGTAGAACTACGGGCACACGGAACCAAACCGAGGCCTCTCAAGCAAGCAGAGGACATGGGGAGCAAGTACGAGCAACACGCCATCGGTGAATCAGAGAAGGACTCAAGCAAGAGTTTATGCGATAACGAAGGCGGATGCTCAAGCCAACCCGGGCTCCATTGCAGGTAACCCCCTTGACTTCACATTCGTTTATCATTTGCTTAAGAGTAAAATTGCATTAAAGCATGTGGGACCCGATCGGGTATCCCTATAGACCCGATTGGGTATGGGCAATTTTCTGGTTTTGAGGTGTGTACTCGTTCGGGCGAGTTCGGCAGGACCTTTCATTCTTGGCAATTCCGGCAATACCCGATCAGGTATGGTTATATACTCGATCGGATATGAGTAAAATTTTCGTTTCGAAGTGTGTACTCGATCGAACATTGTATGTTGGCAGGAAGCTTTTTGTTTAAGATTTCGATTAATACCCGACCGGGTATAGGCATGTACCCGACCGGGTATAGGCATGTACCCGACCGGGTATAGGCATGTACTCGATCAAAATAATACTAAAATTCATAATCTGTAATTAAAATTCGTCATTAATAATTTATAATTAATTTAGGTGGACAAATATACCCTTTAGTTTAAACCTCTAAAACCCTAACCTCTTACCCATTTTTTACAACCCTGGCTACAACCTCCCCACACCCAGCCACCCCGCCGTCCATCCGCCCCTCCGTCAAGCCGCGCCGCCGTCCAACGTTGCCGCCTTCCACATAAATCGGATCTAGGAGGCTGGGAGCACTATGGGGCTTGTTGGGCCAGTTCTCCGCCATACATGCGTCCCAAAGGGCCGCGCCGCCGCCCGATGTCGATCTGATGCCCGCCGTTCAGCCACCGCTCCCCATCGTCGCACAGCCTCCTGCCACTGCACGACCTCCTTTTGCCCCCTCAGGTCATTCTATGTGACGAAGCCGCGGAAAGGGTTGAAGAGAATTTCGGTGGAGGATTCTTGGTGCACGCAAATGATTTGTGGATAAGGTTGAAGAAGAGGGAGAACGAGAATAAACCCCAAGACACCGGCTATGAAGGCAACGGACAACATACTAGCACAGTCTAGCTACATTTATAATACTGATCATATCTGTCTCAAACGGTTTTGTTTTATTTGTTTAATTATGATGTCAAATTTTAATTATATTCTAATTTCAAGTTTGCAATTTTGAATAGATTTTAATATAGTTTCTGAATGTGTAAATTTTAATTAATAAAAATTGTAGTTAATTATCGATTGACAGAATTCACTGTTATTATTGATTGACCAAACATATTGACTTCTCAAAACAATTTGGGACGAAGGGAGTATATTTATACTGCCCCCGTCCCATTTTAGTTAAACAAACTTGACATTTCAAGTTAATGACGTTTAACTTTATTTAATTAAATGTTTATATAGATAAAATATCGATAATATGAAAATGATATGAAATATTTCCTTATTTATTAAATTTTGCATAAGTATAATGGTTAAAATAATTGGTCAAATTTTGTATCAAGTAAAAAATGGCCAAGTATATTAAGATGGAGGTAGTATATTATTACTCTATGTATTACACCCAATACATAATTAAAGGGAAAATAGACTCTTCTACAATTGCAAATCGGCCACCTAAACCTAAAGGGTCAAATAAGTTCATGTAGTCTTCATGAAAAGAGTCAAATGAGCCAAGGGAATTGAACCGTGGTTGACGGTGAGGCACCACAATGCCAAGGCCAGCTCGGCTACGTAATATACGTGCTCATTTCTACTTCGAATTATATTTATATTCTTATGGCTCACACTATTACTATTAAGAATATTACCCGATATAGGACAAAAAAGGTTTGAAAATTCCAAAATAGGATTGTCATGTTTTTATTCCCAAAATAGGACTAATTACTGTCATATTTTGGCAGTACCAGACTTCAAACATGGCAGTATTTTCCAAACTTGGCAGTAATTACTCCTATTTTGGGAATAAAAACATGACAGTGCTATTTTAGAATTTTCAAATTGTTTTAGTCCCATTTCGGGAACTTTTCCTTACTATTATTATTAAACATGCATAAATTTTTTATTAGAATAATAACTATTCTTGCTGTTGTTATACTAATAAACTACTGGGTATTTTTGAAAGTTCACAAGTTCTATCCTAATAATTTTAGTTATATTTAGTGAAAAACTAAAACATAAAATATAGTTAATTATATATTAGATGAAATTTTCGTTCAAAAAAAATATTAGATGAAATTTATATGGCCAAATTAAAATCTATTCTCATTTTAAATTTATTTAGAATACTATCCGTTAATTTCCAAATCAACAGTCGAACAATGTAAAATAAGTTCATACGTAGAATAAAAAATATAAAATACAACCTTTATTGAATACTC